ACTGGATGTCCTCCCTCTGTGTATATACGCACACAGCAAGCTCAAGCTACCTCCTAATAACTTTGCATAATAAAAGGTGCACTTTAGGTCTCAGGCGTGTTTCAGGGTGTTGTACCAACCAGAGAAGAACAAGATAGCTGTCTGTTAATAAAGCCTGCAAGCAGGGCGATGGCAGAAGTGATGAGGTGGCTGTAAACCCTCTCCCTAAACATGGATGATGCTGTGATGAAACCGCAGTGGAATTGTTCAGTCTTCCATTAATTACCTAAAACCAACTATGGCAGTGACAATTGTTGAAGGTGATCTTTTTCTCCAGCTGTTTTGCACTGGGCTTGGGTGTTGTATAAACATCACCTGCTGTGGTTTACATAAACACTTAGACAAGCACCATCCTTAATGAGTAGAGAACACACGCGTCTTCAGTGGAAACGTTCATATTCTCAAGTACTGTAATCACTAATATGTGTTTGTGCCATAGTAATATTTAAAGGTCTCTGGAGGAGTGGTGACCCCAGTTTACGAGTGTGCCTCGGGGGCAGCCTGTCTGGACACGCTCAGGGGCAGAATAAGCTGCTTCCTCACATAACGTGTCACCGGACACTCTTGAGTATTCAGGTGACTCGTGATTTGCACATGGGAGAATCTCAGACGATTTGGACATAGACCTCACGCTTCCCACTACGAACTCTTCTCTGAATTTCAGAAGACGTGCTCTCTGCTGCAAAGCTAGGCCTATGCGTACAGTGAGCAGGGACAGTGTTCTAAGATGGGCTCTGGAGGAAGTAAGCAATTTTTCCTCATCGCAGTATCTAAGACACGGTTGTGTTTCAGGGCTCGGAGGGGTTTTTAAATTCCCAGAGCAGATGAAACAGCTGGTGAAAGGCTACTGCACGGAAAATACATGGCTTAGGTACTTTGTGATTTCTTTTCTCAGCACAGTCTCACCAAACAGTTTACTTAGTGTCACAACGTGTTTCAAAACTGGGAAAAAAAAAAAAAAATTAAATCTGAAAGTCAGTATATTACTGTTCACAGCATGGAGTTAATTGTCTGTATGACAGTGCGTATGTTCTAAGACAGCTTTTTGGCAGGTAAAATGTCTGTGTGTCTACAGTCAAGCCTTTCTCCATGTAAATCAAGTAAATTTGATGTAAAGACAAAAAATATGAACAAGAAAAGGAATACAGAAGATAAACAGATAAATTTTGCCTTTTCCAGTATTGGGGTAGTAACTTACGTATCTGATGATGAAATCCCATGCACTGTCATTACTCGCACCGTAGTTTCAATTGCTATTGATTTTATGTTTGTTAATTTTGGGGCGCCCAAGCTGCAAAACCAAACAGGCCTCGTGTTCAGTAACCCTGCATACAAACACAGATCATCTACAGATTTGCAGAATAATAGCTATTTTGAAAATACGGGCACTTCACCTATTCTCTCTCTGTTGCAGCAACATCGGAAGATCTGGGTATCTCAATTATGAAAACCACCTTTACTTTGCAAAATACCGGTTCGCACCCAGAGTCATTTGCCTCGATTGATCATCAGGCATGCCTACAGCACATGCCACTACCAAAGTACAAATCAAGTGTTTCTAGTTTGGGTTAGTATAAATCAGCTTTTCCATACAGCCATAAGCCACCAAAGAGCAATATATGTTGTTATTTACTTAAATACGTTTGTAGCTCAAAGGTGACACTTTGCTGATTCCAAAAAGCCATTAGAAAATATTCCAGACATTTACTGATTTAATGCTAACTAAAAATATCTCATCCTCAGATTAGCAGTGGGATGTCAAGGGTGAGAATATTTGTCCTGGACATCCGACAGGAATCCACGTTCCTTATGCATGACCTGGGTTCCAGAGAAAGTACAATTCCTTTGCTGCCCTCTTCAGAATAAGTTCCCTTAGCTTTCTTAGACGACTCCTTGTTGGTTTAAAAGAAGTAAGGTTTTGTTGTTGACTGAAATCTGCTGATGACCTTTCCTTTTATATGTTTACTTGTTTTACTAAAAAAAAAAAAGTCTGAATAACCTTCACATTTTAAAATAATAGGATTTGGGAGGGGGGAAGGGACAGCGATCTCAAAAACGTTGATACCTCGGGATTTGAGAACAAAACCAGCTTAAATGGCAGAAGCTGTTAATTAGATATTGAGATGTTCAGGAATAAACCCTTTACTTAGAAACCTGCTAATACTTGTATCAGCTATTTTGCTTTTACTGAAACATTTACATTGAGAGACTTCACCAAATTACGCATTTTTTTCTAATCACAGTTTACTTCATTATAGTAGTCAACAGAGGTTATAATCTTGACTGGTGTTTAAAAGCCTTATCAACCCTTCCCTTGAAAGGTTAATTTAACATACAGAAAATAGGCCACCTTCTTCTCTCTTGGTAGTTCTGTAATAAAAGGTTGATTGTTCAAGCAGCAGCATTCAATTATTTTGTTTCTGATGCTATCTACATGTAAAAAAATCTAGCTAAGCTCAGATGGTCCCTGCAGGCTTTCCAGTTATAGTCTTCAGTGCAAAGATGCAAAATAAACCATTAGAGCCTCACAGTTAACATTCAAACTGCAAAGTATTATGTTATCAAGTTAAAGAATTAAATTTGCTTCCTGGAATATCAGTGATATAGAGAAGCTTCTGGAGTGTTTGCCCTTTTTTTAGTGAAACTCATTCTTTGAATATATTTGCCTGAGAAAAAGGTGCTAAAGAAGTCTGAGTGGAAGCCAGTGTTCAGAGAAGTTGGCCAGAAATGTAGCCATCCAGTTGTTGTTGAATTAGTCATGATACTAGACCTCTACAACAGACATTGAAAACTTATTCTATATTAATAGATTTAATATAGTTGGAACAGAAAAAAAATATTTCCCTGGGTGTGCTTTTCTTTTTTTTTCCCCACAGGACCTGGGATGCTCAAACGATAGATGTGCAGGCCAAAAGCAGTGAAATTTATTGCTCTGATTGTTACGGTTGAAAGAGCAACAGCACTGACCTCCAGAAGTTTAGGGAGCAAAATAAATGCAGCTTTAGCATTATGCATCAAAACTGAGACAACTGAATAACGTCCCGGAAACACAGTGAGAATATACACCCAGTGTAAAATAAATCAGCTTTCAAAGGGAAAGTAATGTGAATGACTCAAACCATTTTGACATTTGTGCTAATTTTGCTACTGGCATGAATTTTAGCCCCACATTTACTCACTTTTACTTACTGATCTTATAGGTGGGAAACTGAAAAGAGTCTTTCAGTGGAGAAAATCGATGCTGTTACAATGGAGCCTCACGAACAGCGACGGGGGCATCTCAAAGCAGCTCTGGCATTGGAAGGAAGCTTGGCAGTCCTGAACAATCAGATAAAGCACTTTTTATTTGCAAGCCAGTTGAAGCAGGTCTCTAAACAGACCAGTGCACAGATGTGTTCTGTTCCTTTAAAATCTCAGATCTTACTTAAAAGAAAGGTATAAAATAGGAATGCAACCAATACAGAAATGCTGGTAACCCCACAAAAAATGGTGGTTTTCCCAAAAAGTATAAAGTTCCTTGTTCGTAATTGAGATGTTGTGTTAAATGGTTTGAGTGTGTGGTTTGCTAATGGTCTTTTTTTTTTTTTCTTGCAAAGAAATTATATGATCCTTATATCATACCGTGCTGAGTGGCTGGCATCGCATTCTTATGACCTGCAGTTCATGCTTGCAAAACTCTGCCACGTTTCTTCTGCCATCTTAAATAAAGTCACCAGTGCCTATGAGTACGCGGCGGTTCCGCAGAGCCCGAGCCAAGGCAGGCATTCCAAGAAGCCCATGGAGCCTGTGTTGTGATACGCTTCCACTGTGAGCAGAGGCACAATCGTGCATGAGAACTGGTTCCTTTGGGTAATTCATGTTTCCTGTATTACTGGGAGAAACTCTGCCATCCTCTTCCTCCTCCCTCCCCAGTTGATTCAATCCCTTGCTGAAAAGTAATTCTGCCAAATCCATCCTTTGTTATCCAGTAGGAGAGTAGCAGTAAACAGTTCTGAGGACAATAGCCACCAGACATATGGAAAACACTTTATTTTGACTGAGCTGCCACATGCAAATGCTTTGCTAATGAGAATTCCTGTATGTTGAAAAAAAGCCTATAACCTGCTTGCCTGTTGTTGAAACACCATTTTTTGTGGAATGGAAGATCACTTTAGAAGCTCTTAAATGACCTGGAAATTATTATTTTTTTTTTTTAAAGGCGACACTTAAGACTAGACTGGAAAAGTACAGAAAAATGCAAGTGCGGGAACAGCTCAACACTGTCAGGTAGTAGGCCAATAATGACCTCATACTTTCCATTTCCAGTGACTTTCATGGCTTCTAAGAAGTCTTTCTCACGAAGGAGACTCTTGGGTTGTTCAGAAGCTCCCAGCTAAGCCCCCGCTTCCAGCTCCGAGTTCCGATCCCCCCCAGCCTCTTGTCCCGTGCCCGCGGCGCTCCGCGGCGGTCCCTCTCCCGCCAGCGGGCCGCGGCCGAGCGACGGCAGCCGGCTGGGACCACGACCCTCGACAGTCGGAGCTGGACAACGACGTCAAAACAGCCGGGGCCGGACCCCCCCCCCAAACCTACGCTCACCCACGAAGCTACGGCATGGCTGCCCCTGAGGTGTTTTTTTCCACAGCGTGGCTGGCTCGGCCTAACTCCTCGGCCACGCTGGAAGCAGCCACGGTCCCCAGGCCTCCCTCTGTGTGTGTGAAAGTCCCGGAGGTCAGGATGCAGTTTCAGCGGGGCCGCTTCAGAGCGCCCTCCCCCAGCACCGGGGATCCCCCCGCCGGGGGTCCCCCCACCCCGTCCCCGGCAGCCGGTCCCTCAGCCCGTCCGTGAGGCGCCGGCCCCGCTCGCTCCCGCCCCGGGGGCAGCTACGGGTGGGCTGGGCGGGCGGCACCCGTCCCCTCCCTACCCCACCGGGCCCGCCTCTCTCCGCCCGGGGCCCGGCGCCGAGCACACCCTCCCCTCCGGCGCTGAGGCGAGGGGCTGCGGGCGGGCGCCGGGGCCACACAAAAGCGGTGCGCGGCGGCGCCTTTCCCGCCGCCCGTGAGGCGGCAGCCGCCCTCCGCCGCCCCCCCCCCCCCCCTCAGCCCTTCGCCCCGCCGTCCGAGCGCGGGGCCGGGCGGTGATGGAGCTGCCGGTGCCGCCGCCTCAGGAGCAGCAGCAGCCGCCGCCGCCGCGCCCTCGCTCCCACACGGTCACCACCACCAGCAGCTCCTTCACCGCCAACTTGTCGGCCAGCTCCAGCACCCTCGCCTACGACAGGGAGTTCCTGCGGACCCTGCCCGGGCTCCTCATGGTGACCGAGATCGTGAGTGACCCCGGGCGGGCGGCCCTGGCAGAGCCGGGCAGCGATGAGGGGCGGGGGGGCGGGGGGGGAAGAAGCCTCGGCCCGGCAGCAGGTTTTCGCTGTGGAAGGTTCCCGCTGTGGTTTGGAGGTTGGGGGCTGTTTTTCCCCCCCTCCCCGGTTCATCACCTGAGGCGGGGGAAGGGGCGAGGGGGGGGGGGGGTGGGGGCCACACGGCTCCTGTCCCGAGCAAAACTGTGGGACCAACGCAAAAGTTATCCCGGGCACATGCAGCCCGTAGTCTCCTGCGGTGTTTGTGGTGTCATCAGCTCTCGTGGCGGAAAAAAAAAGGAGTTTTGGCAGAGTGGGAACTGGTTTTTGGAGGCTTTTCTTTAACTATGTTGGTTGTACACGCTTCGTGCTTTTACAGCACACCAATAAGCGTGACGTGAGAGTTAATTGGGCAACTTACTTTCACTTGTAGATCAATAAAAAACAGTTCCTTACAGTCTTAGTGATTAGATACACCTGTGAAGTGCAGGATATGAATTAGCACCTCTTGGTTTTGGTAGTGATTTTATTTTTTGCTGGTATTTTGTAAGGTGGCAAACAAATTTATAAAATGGCCAGGCAGTATGGGGTTCAGTCACTCGCCTTGGTGGTAGGCAGTGAGCAACACGACACTGGGATCCCTCTCAGTGTGTTAAGCAATAGACACGGTTCATCTCTACTTACAAATAATATTTCTTTTAAGTCTGCTCATCTACACTATTCATAGTTAAGGAACTTAAAGAGCTGGCTGCCCCAACTAATTACTGAGTTTCCTGCGTGATGTTTTTGCTTTGATGCTGTTGGAAGGATTCACTTATCTGTCCAGATTCATTTTCAAGGCTTGAAAACATTGTGCTTCACCAGAGCAGTGGAATGACTGTTGGTTTTGCTGACTTCGGGGTTAAACTAACCAAGCGAAGCTTCGGGGTAACGTGGAGTGTAGGAGCTCTGGCAGGAACAGTGCTGGCGGAGCGAGGACGCGCGTTGGGCTGCCAGCCGCTGCCCGGGGAAGCGGTGGTGAGGGTGTGAAGCCAGAGCCCACTACCAGCTGGTACCTTGTATGCTGACATGGTTGGGAATTCTGGTCATCTTTACTGGGTGGGTGATAGTGGGCTTGTTTCCGTTGTTCAGCACAGGGAATGCTTCCCTGTGAGAGTTGTGGTAGATCTGTGAGTAAAGGTGTCGCAGTTTTTGAAAGGAAAGCTGCTTGCTTTTCCACTCGTTTTCAGCTACTAATCACAACAAAATTATGAACACTTCTTGTACTTTATCTGAAGAGTGATCCCACTGTAGATTTAGAGAGGTGCCCAAGGCTTTTCCCAAGCCCTGCTGGAATGTTGTATATTTAGCTTGGCTGCCAGTACTGCATCAGTTGCACTTACATTGAGCTATGTGGCCACAGGGCATGGACAGGCTCCTGCTTACTCTTTGCTGGAAGTGTGCTTTCTAGTTTGTGTTGACAGGTGGTGATACTACCTTCCTAAACAGGGTGATGATGGTTTTTAGGGGACTTTGTTTCCTATCAGCCATTCCTGAATCCTGGAATAATTATAAAATGATTCTTCAGCCACCATTTTATGATGCTTGAGTCCCTCAATATTGGCATTTAGAACCATTGGTTTAAGTTTCATAAGTACTTGATAACACATTTACCAGCTTTAGAAAGAACCTCAATGCTACCTGACTTCGTAGGCTAGTGTAGAGTTGTGTCTGCACTACAGGCTTCCACATACGTATTTTTATTGATCAACAGTATGAAGTTGTGCAGTTCCTGACCAACTAAAAGGATGCCATGGAAGTCTGTAATGTAGATGAATTTATACTGTTTTGTGATGATGTATTTGAGAGCACAGAGGATAATTTTAATACAAAATTGAAAACAGTAAGGAGCATACTACAGAAGTAGTGTATGCTAGATTACTGCCTTTGAAGAAATACTTGTGGTTCTTAACCCCACTTATTTTAAAGCAGGTAAAGTAGCTGTTCTGTGGAATTGAAGGAAAATAAAAGCATATTAGTGAATACCTTGATATGGTATTAACTGAAATAAAACCAGTGATTAAAATCAAATAAGTAGGTTTATATGTGTGTGTGTGTGTATATATATATACACACAGGTTTGGTGTTGGTTTTGTGTCAAACCTTTTCCAACAATTCTGCATGTTGGGGTTTTTTTCTGTTGTTGTTTGTTTGTTTGTTTGTTTTCCTGAGATAAAATGTGCTTTGAGAACATGACTAGCTTTACACAAGATCTCTATTTCAAAATTGGTTCTGCATGTTCAGCAGTAACAGAGTTATGTACCCTCAGTCAGTCAGTTCATACCAGTTGTGGTCATCCTTTATATATAAAAGTTGTGGCTTGCCTGCACAGATTGGCCCTTCAGCGTATTTCTGACCCTCAGTACTCAAGTCCCAGCTCACAGCATGATCCTCCTGCTGAGGAAGTGCAAACCTGCAAACGGGACAAACTCTTATGTGTGTCGTGTTTCAGTCTCAGGAGTTTGCAGCCTGATCCTTTTCAGTCTAAGCACCAAGCTTGGAAGAACAGCAGCTGTGCTAAGAGCATACCTTTGCTTCTGCTGCCCCTGCTCTGGAGACACTTGCAAGAAGGACAGGGAAGAGGACTGATGAGCAATATCTGTTACCATTGCAGCTACTCGGCTGTCAGACTCTCCGTTCGTTTGGATAGTATGCTAAAGCTAAGCTAGGGGTGTTAAACAACAGTGCTGAATGTTCGGAGAGTTTACACTGTGGGGCTGCATAAATATTTGATTATTGCCGCTGTCAGTCAGCGATGTGCATGCAGCAAGAGGAGTACAGTCTGTGTATCCGGGCTCTGAAACAGGAGCTCTCTTCTCTGTATAAGCAGAGGGCAAATCAGTGTTATTCTTCAACCAGGGAGAATGGAAAAGCACAAAGTTACCACATAAATTAAATCTTTCAGTCCCTTAAATGAAGGATCTTGATCAGGTTTTGCTCTTACCTCCCTAGTTTGGTTGTTGTGAAGGTGAATTAACTGCTGTGTGAATTTCCACGTGCACTGGTAATCAGCCTACTTCTGCACAGAGGCTGTGGTTTAATGACACAGTAAATTCAGCTTAACGGCTCCTAGTGAGAGTTTCTTTCCAATGCTGCAAAACGCTGGACTGCTATTAACTCGGTCTGCTGTTTCCAAATTGTTCAAAATGAATTAGCTTTATAAAGACAGTTTTTATGATGGAAAAGGTATTATCTGTCCTTTACATAGCTGCTTTAAAGCCAGCATAAATGTGGGATGAGGTTGACTGTGCATATTCAGCAGTAATGGAGTCAGGTACTCAGACCTGGTTCAGCTTAATTTTGTAATGCCATTTGGTCTATCTCTTCACACATCCAGTATGAGCGAACAGAACTGCAGCCTGAAGTGTAGGTTAAATTACCTGGCGCTGACAGATTTCCATTGCCTTCTCTGTCTGCCTCTGGGACCAGAGAGATGCAAGGTATCCTGTCACTCACTGGGAAGGAACTGGGGGCGGTTTATTTTCCGTGCAAAGAGCAAAATAGAAAATGCCACTGGATTTTTGAGAGGCTGTTGGGAACTGGCATGAAACACAGCTTTGGTGTGTGGAAGCTTATCCAAATTATTTATATACAGAACTAATGATGCTTGCTGAACAGGGCAGGGACTTCTGACTTGGGAGACTTGGATTCACTGGCCTTAGTTGTCCTGTGACTACTGACAATGAATTTATCTGCATCTCTCTAACATCTCTGAATGACTTCTCTGTCCACGGAATATGGATGCAAATATTTGTAAGGCACACTGAGATCTGTTGGTGAAAAAGAATATATAAGACATGAGTGGTGTTACATAGTCTTTAATTCAGATGTCAATCACAGCAGTACAAATAAATCGTATAGAAGATAGCTGATACTTATTTCTGTAGTGTAACACATACACACGCACGGAGGATTTATAGTTTCAAAAGAAACAAGTACAGCGATTTCCAGAGATGTAGTTTGAGTGTTTCTGTGCTGTATAATGATGGCCCAGAAACATTATCTATTTGTCTTCCTAGGAATTTTTATGGCCAAGATAAATGATGGTTGGTGATACCTTCTCAGAGCTTTAAATCAGCTTCTCAAGTCAGGCATTATGGATCACTTTGTAGAAGTGGAGAGTTTGGTGGTTGCTATGGATGTAGTTATAAAAATATTTACTTTCTAGCACGATGACATTGATTCCTTCAGATTGCTGCTTCACACCAGTGTGTTGCTAGATACAGTCTCTTGTAAAACTTGCCCTGCTAATTTTAAGGCTTGTGATGGCTATTTGTCCTTAACAAAAACAAATACTACATAGCTTGGAAGGGTTTGGAAGGTTGTTACACTGCTGCTGCTAGTGAGATCTTGTGATGGTGTAAATTTTAGTAAATTGTTATTATAGTTGCATTTCTTCATGCTGTTCTGCTCAGATTATTCATTGAGTGAAATGCCCGGAATAAGATAAAGAGTTGGAAGTAGAAGACTGATAGGAGGTTATTTACATGACTGGCACCACATAAATTTATGGTTTGAATTTACATTTCTGGACAATAAAAATAATTTTGATCAGTGTTTCGTTACTCAAATGTAAGACCTTTGAAGGCCTAATTCAGAAAAGAAATGTTGTTGAATTTGTTTATTCTGGTAGATTGGTGAACCTCAGAATGTTAAATAGATATTGAAAGTTCTGTCATATTGAAGATATTGAGGTTACCAAAACCAGAACAACTAGATGTGTTCAAATGCTTTTCAGTAGGCTTTCCCCACCTTTTTCTTTTTTTTTTTTTTTCCTGAGCGATACATCAAAACCTTCTTCAGATATTCAGGTTGTGAATTAAGTTAGCAATAAAATCACATAAATGTGAAGAAAAACAGAAGTAATACAGTGAAAAAGCTAAATGACAAAAATTGTACTTATTTTTTAAGCTCTCCTTGCCGTTAGCTTTTTC